GTAGTATGGGATGCTGGGGCTGTAGAAGTAACATGCTGGACAGAGCTGGAAGGCAAAAGGGGCAGGCATGCTGCAGAGCATGCAACTTGAGTCAGGCTTTTGCCTGGGAAAGGGTCTGAGGTCATGGCCAAGGATATAGCTGAGAGGAGACACGAACATAGTGCAGCAAGAAAGACAAAGAGCAACATGGGATGGAGCCAAAACCAAGGTCTGAGTATGACCCTGGCAGAATCACCAGGTCTCTGATGCCCACAGCCTGTTGAGACAACCCAGTACAAAGCTGCTAAATGCTTAGGCATTGGTTGTCACTATCATTTTGAGCTAGTGGCCAGGTTGTTTAGCTTATCTCTAGTTCTAGCCATTCTGCTCTAGACCCAGGACTAGGNCAGGCATGTGGCAATGACCAGCCAAGCCCTCCCAAGGCTGAGGACCACCACTGCCATCCCAGCCTGGAGCTCCTGAAGCCACACTCTGGCTGGTGAGAGGGCTGGAAAGGGGAGACGTGAAAGAGCTGAGTGTGTGAACAGCACCTCTTTTTCAACAGTTATCCCATTAACATGCCCTAAATACACAGCAGGCAATTCCAAAATTAGGCAAAGGGACTACAATTTACTGGGCACCTACTATGGGTCCAAATCAGCTTGATCCCAAAGCCAGACTCACCACATGCCCTGGCTGCTTGTGTCGCCTCAGAGTTGAGCACCAGCACTCCACTGGGGCATCCTCATTTAGTCAAGACTCTCCTTCCACGAGCATAAGCATTTCTCTGGAGCACGATGCATTGTTCCCAGTTGACCCCGAAGCTTTCTCCAAGGGTCTCTTTATGAGGGGCTGCACAGGGACTGTGCCAGGCATGGCATAGAATTGCCTGCCCTGCTCCAGTGGGCTCAGCCATTGTGACGGCAAAAATTAATCACAATGGAAATAAAATCATACAGTGCCCCAATGTCCCATACATGCAGGGTGGTATGCAGGTTGATGTCAAGGTTCATCAACCGATGGATGAGTGAAGGGTAATTTCCAGACATCTGACTCACCCAAAGAGGACCATTTCCTATCCCCTGGCAATCATTTCTGCAGGGACCTCTAACTTAGTGGCCAAAGCCAGGGTTCAGCTCTTCTTCTGCGTTCTTCTCTCTATCCCTCGTCTATCTGCCCCTCTCTATTTGGAATAGAAATGTTGAAACTTACCGGTGAGGATGAAGGTATGTGCTGTCAGGGCAAAACACCCCGAAGACTCTAAGGGCGACAGCATAGGAATGGGCAGAGTGCTATTCACAGCCATAGGGACAGCTGCACTATCGCTGAGTGACACTACATAGTATCTTCATAGAGGGTGAGAAACATGGGGCTCAGCAAAGTGACTTTCATCACAGTTGATGCAGTACTGTTCCAGGGCCAGAGAAAAACGGAGGTGCAGCTGACCAGTGCTGTGGTTGCTGCGAGTCCTCTCTGCATGCAGAGGTGAGGCCATCTCCTCTTGTGGTTCCTCCGGATTCACCTCTCTTGTGATAAAAGAACTTTGATTCTCTTAGGTATCCATACTCCCCTCAGTTTAGTCTGTGCTGTTGGGTGGCAGACCTCACCCCCAGAAGCTGGGTGGGCATAGAACCCTGATCTAGCCAAATGAAAGCATTTTGCTCTGGGATGGGCATGTAACCTAACTTGGAAAATAAAAACCAGTTTTGGGATTTTTGCTAAAATTACCAGAATAGAGCATGTGTGGTATGGGGTAGAATTCCTATGTGATTGACTGTCAGCCTGGAACTGTTGGGGGCACCGATGTCACTGTGCTGAGATAGCCTGCCAAGAACAGAGCCAGTCCAAGGGCAACCCCCACTAAGAGATGGAAAAGCACAGCTTCCTGCAAGCCGACTTGAGCCTTGAGATCCAGCACGCCTGGAGCCAGACTGTTTTCAGGCTTTAGGTATGGGAGGTGATGAATCCTCTTTTTTTGCTTCTGTTAGTTTGAAATGGCTTTCTACCACTTGCACAGAAACGGTGCTGAGAAACCCAAGTGTGGACAATTAGGCTTGTATGAAATGTGAGCAGTATGAGATCAGTAGGTCCTCAGCTGACACACAATCAGTGCTGTGCCGTTGTGCAAAACTGAACTATGTCCACCACAGTTGGCAAACAGCCACCCCACCTCCAGAGACCTCTGCTGCCCAGGCCTCCCGGACCATGCCCTGGCATGCCCTGGACTTCCCCACAATCTGTCAGCTAAAGGGTTAGCACCTGGCACAGCAGGGAGCCTCTGCCCCAGCCACTGCACTTGTTCTGCTGAAGGACATCAGCGTCCCTGCTGCACAGTTCAGTGGTCCTTTCTCTGTGCTTATTCTCCTTGGCCCTTCAACAACATTTGACAGTCCCACCTTGAAACTCTCTCCCTGGCTGCCAGGGCATCTTGCGCACCTTCAGTTCTGCTATCTTTCAAGATACGCCTTCCCATCTCCTTTGCTGGTTCCTCCCCAGGTCCTCACCCGCTAAAGACTGGAGTGCCCAGCGCACAGTCCTCGGTTCTCTTTGCCACGTGCACACATTCTCTTGGTGGTCTTGTTCACTCTCCTGGCTTGAAACACTATTCCTAATTTACATCTCACTGGACCCCTCCCTTGAGCTCCAAGTTCATACATCCAATGGCCTCCACAGTGCCTCGACCTGGATATGTGACAGGCACCTCAACAGTGAGCTCGTGATGTCCAGCGCAGCCTCACAGCAGCTCTTCCTGTGTTGTCCCCTTTCATCTTCCAACTGCCCGAGCCTACGTCCTCAGTCTTTTCCTTAAGTCCTCCCTCACACACACAAACCCCACGCTTGATCTGTCATCAGGCACTTTCAGCCCACCTCACACCACCTCTGCTGCCATCTCCCCAACCCAAGCGCCCTCATCTCTCACCTGGATTACTGCAATCTCCGCAACACCAGTCTCCAGCTTCTGCCTTCAACCTACTATGGTGTATTCTTGGCACAGCAACCAGAGTGATTCTTTTCAAATAATAAGTCAGGTCACATCACTCCTCTGCTTAAAACAACCCAGTGCTTCCCATTTATTCAGAGTAAACGACAACACCATTACCATGAGCCTCACGCTTCCACCCCTAGGCCGTTCCCTCTAACCTCTGCTTCCACTAACTCCCTGCACCTCGACTGCTCTGGCCTCAGCCAAGCCAACCATGACTCCCTCAGGCGTTCGCCCTCACTCCTCCCTTGGCTGAAATGCTATTTTCCAGTTACCTGCATCACTTGTTTCTTCACTTGGTTCTTAATTCAAATACAGTTGGCCCTCAGTATCTGTGGGCTTTGCATCTACAGATTTGACCAGCAACAGATTGAAAATATCCAAGAATAAAATGTACAATAAGAAATAACAGTACAACAATGAAAAATAATACAAACAAAAAATATAGTACAAGAATTATTTATGTAGCATTTACACTGTAATAGATACTACAAGTAATATAGAGATGACTTAAAGTATACAGGAGATGTGCATAGATTATATGTAAATACTACACCATTTTCTATGAGTGACTTGAACATCCTCAGATTTTGGTATCCACAGGAAGTCCTGCAACCAATCTCCTGTGGATACTGAGGGGTGACTATTATTTTCTTAATAAGCCTTCCTTACCACTCTGTCTGACAGATTGCAATGCCCACCTCTATTTCCTGTGCTTTTGTAGTTATCATTATCTAATATGCTTTATAGTTCACTCATGTAAATTGTCTGATGGCTGTGCTCTTCATGAGAATGTGAACTCAGTAAGGACTGGCGACTTTTTTACTATTTTCCTTGTTGCTCTGTCAAGCAGTAAACACCACATACCACAAGCTATTGATAAATAACTTTCAATGAATTTGTGGGACTCATTCCATTCTCATTATAAATATTTTGATTGTCATTCCTGGGGACACTCCTTCTGCCCCATCTTCACACAATTCTGGGGAAAACCAGCAATCACTGTCAGTTATAACTGAAATACAAACACCTATTGATCCCGAATTGGCCTTCCAGAGAACTGAGTACCTGTAAAGGGGCCCTGGGTAGGGGCTG